CTCAGCGTCCCGAGTAGCTGGGATTACAGGCACGCGCCACCATGCCCAGCTAATGTTTTGTATTTTTAGTAGAGATGGGGTTTCACCATGTTGACCAGGATGGTCTCGATCTCTTGACCTCGCGATCCACCCACCTCGGCCTCCCAAAATGCTGGGATTACAGGCTTGAGCCACCGTGCCCGGCGGGCCTTCAGTTCTAAAATGTCACAAGTCCATGCTGGCTACCAGCAGTATATGGACTGGTCTGCTTTCTGACTAGCTATTCAAAGATCTAATTCATCCTAAAATGCAGAGCAACTTGTGCTAAGATTCCTTCTCTGCCTCCTGACCTTTAGAAGATTATTATGTTCTCTCTATTCAGGCAAATGACAGAGGGTAGTGAAGGGTTTCTCTTTTGGATCTGTTTAATGTGGCTGTAAGGAAATGGCCTTCGAAAAGTTCTGGACACAGATCTCGTTGACTCTGCCAAACCTGCACTCTCCAGGTCCCTCTACGGATCCTGTTCTTGGAAGCTGCGTTTGGATTTGGTTACTGGAATGCAGGTGAAACTGACAAACTGGAGGTCCAGACACCAAAATAGAGGAATCGGAAGGAATAAGAGAGAGGTCCACGGTAGATCAAATTAAGAAGTTTCCTAGTGGCTAAATAAACCTCTATCTTTTTGTATAATCCAGTCTCTTTGCTAACGACCACTCTTGAGAGCTGAAACCTCAAAATTCATGATGGGTGAATTCAACAGCCACTTGGCACCTAATGGACCCCCAGAAATACTCTTCTCTAGCTAGGCATTAAAGGTCACCTAGAGTGCACCTGTGGGAAGAGAGAAGGGCCTTACAGAAGCGCCATGCGGTCCTCCCCGGGAGTCCTTTCTAAGCCTCTCGCACAGGTAGCTGTCATCCGCCACTGCTTGGACATTGCCAAGGTCGAGGCGCCAGCTGCCTGGCCTGGCAGGCGGCCTCCTGCGCTGCTGGACAGCTCTAGCTGTGGGAAAAGCCCACGAAGTGCCTAGAACAGTGCCGGGCGCCGAGCCGAACTCTGCAAATGTGCTTGCAAGTGGGTCAAAAGCTGCCTCCCTAGAACTTAAACCCACTGGTATTGGGTGTGCCCCTGGAGCCCCGAAACGCAGAGGCCTCTCGGGTATCTGGGGCTGTAATCAGGCTCCTCGGCCCTCTCCTTCCAGGGGCGGATCCCGGACTTTCTTACCCAAGCCTGAACCGGCAGACCCCTCCCCAAACCCCAGAAGCCCCAAGGGTGGGCACCGAGGTGGGGATGGCAGCCAGAGAGGCCGCGGTCGGGGCTGTCCCAAACCTCGGTTCCTCGGGCAGGAGGGGACAAAGGGCTCAGGAAGGCGTATCCCCTGCCGCGATCTGGGCTGCCCCCGCCCATGGGCAAGCCAGCCCTGGGGACCCCCGCGGCGCCAGAGAACAGGCCCCCAAGGACGTCACCCCAGGATCCGAAGATCCCCTCAGGCTGCGGCGTGATGGGCCGAGCTGCGCCGGGAACCTCGGGGCTCGAGGATTCGGTTCGCCGGGTCCGGGGTGCTATCCCCACTCCGCGGAGCTCGCTTGGCCGTGGCTTTACCTGCGTGTGATTGACTACAGGTGCTCAGCTCGCCTCCAGTCTGGTCCTGAATCTCCGCGGCTGCCGGCGGCGCTTACGGATATACAGACGGAACCCCTGGCCAGTGCAGCTCCCGCCGCTACCGGCCCCGCCCAAGCAACTGCCGGCACGCCCCTGACGACCGCTTCTGCCACGCCCCCAACCACGGAAACCGCCTGTTCATTGGGCAGTTCAGCCGCTTCTCTACTTGCCCCGCGTGCTTATTGCCTCTAGAAGGGAATCCATTGGTCAAAGAAGCTGCTCCTCAGAATGAAGGCGGGAGTCTTTGAGAATAGCTCCTCAGCAATTGGTTACATTTGACGTCTTTAGTCCGGCGACCCAGACGCCATTGGATAAAGCCACTGCGGAGTGGGCGAGGAAAGGAGAGGAGGGCTTGCAGATGAGTCGTGTGTGACGTTGTGGGGGCGGGTGAAGAGATGGGTAATTGTGACCGCAAGCTGCTTTAGAGGGCTGGGTAAGGTCAGGTGCCGATTGGGGTGCAGAGGAAGGAGGTCAGCTGGTAGCTCAGCTGTGGGGCTCTGGTGTGTCCAGGCCGACTGATTGATTCACATGTACTCAAATTTCACAGGGGGTGAAATTTGAGGTCACGTCCTGGGAGAGACGAAGAAGGGTCGTAAGTCACCAAACCCGAAGGCGAGGAAAAGTCGTGGAGGCAGCGGTCTCTGGCCTCTTCCAGCGCCGGATGGGGGATGGGGACGCCCTGGGCAGTATGGGCCTCAGTTATTGTCCCACGGCCCTTTCAGCCCTTAACCAACCCAGTAGGAGGCCGCCTGGAAGCAGGTAGCCTTTGAACTAGGGTTGGAATTGAGGCTCCCACCGGTTGTTGTGCCCTTGGGCAAGTCACTAAAGCTTTCTGCATGCTCCCTGATTTCTTCACTTGGCAACCAAGGGTAACAATAGTAGCTGATGAGAAGATTAAATAAACTCCGGTAGATGCTAACAGTTCCTGGCACTCAATAGGCATTCAATCAAGGCTGATTCTTCACCCACTCACCCCATCCGGCTGGGAAACTAGGCCCATTTCTAAAATTCTATGAGCCCGAAACTGCTTTTGCAATGGCATGCCGTGTACCAAGAATAGAACACTTAAGCGACTTGAAATGCAAACCCTGTCGGGCAGGCAAGGCCAGACTACCAAGGCCCTGTAGGGCTGGGAGAGAGGGAGCAGGGGATGAAGTGAGAGGAGCGACTTAGCCAAGAAGGGAAGTGGTGTTTGTTGCCATGTAAATTTTTCCCAACATATTTCAGGATTGTGACAAGGAAAAATGGGCTGGCTCAAGTTTTATGGAGCGTGACCAAATAACAGCCTTTGAAGACTGATCAGCAGTGTACCAGAAATCACTGCATGAGATACATCTGTCAGAGACTCCTGAAGACCATTCCACATTCTGAAGCTGTAGACATCATACAGTGTGGACAGAATCAGGCCTGAATGTAGCCCCAGACCCTTTGCGCCTGCCTTTGAATGAACTCACACTCATGGTACATCAGAGTGAAGGAGAAGAAAGAATCTTTTGCTGTTGCTGTATTCATTCAGTTGTCATGTTACCTTGAAAAATAAAAGGTTTCATCTCAGTATTTATGTATTCCTCTGTGTTCTCTTTTATCTTGGAAAAGAAAAACCTAGGCTTCAGTAGCAAACTCTCTGAGCGATTAACCCCATCGTCTTGACTCTGACTCACAACAGTTTGGACTTCCAAAAAAGAGCTTTAGATTTATCACTGGATAAGTATGTAAGGTAATGTGTATGTTAACTAGCTTGGTTTAGCCATCCCACAATGTATACATGCATCAAAACATGGACCAGCGCAGTGGTTCATGCCCGTAATCCAACACTTTGGGAGACTGAGGTGGAGCCTGGGTGACATAGACCCCCATCTCTACAAAAAATTTGAAAATTAGCCCAATGTGGTGGTGCATGCCTGTAGTCCCAGCTAGTGGGGAGGCCGAGACAGGAGGGTTGTTTGAGCCTGGGAAGTTGAGGTTTCAGCGAGCCGTGATTGCACAACTGCACTCCAGCCTAAGCCACAGAGCGAGACCCTGTTTGACAAATAAACAAATAATAAAGGATGTTGTACATCATAAACAAATTTTGTCAATTAAAAATTAATAATAATTTTTAAAATAGGCAGGGCATGGTGGCTCAAGCCTGTAATCCCAGCACTTTGGGAGGTCAGTGTGGGAGGATCACCTGAGGTCAGGAGTTCCAGACCAGCCTGACCAGCCTGACCCCATCTCTACTAAAAATACAAAAATTAGCCAGGTGTGGTGGCACATGCTTGTAATCCCAGCTACTTAGGAGGCTGAGGTAGGAGAGTCATTTGAACCCAGGAAGCGAAGTTTGCAGTGAGCTGAGATCGTGCCACTGCATTCCAGCTTGGATGACAGAGTGAGACTCCGTCTCAGAAAAAAAGAAAAAGATTTGTCACTAGTCTTGGGAGGGTGCATACACATACCTATGTACACGTTTGGTCTGATCCACAGTTTTCTGGTTCTTGTCTTTAAACAGTGCTGCTTGGTAGCCATACACATGGCTGCATGCATGCTAGGGAAATAGGCCCAGCCCAATACAGGTTTGCTTCTGCCTTTGTTTGCTAAGGGAGACTGCGATGTCTTGCTAGGCCCTGAAAAGCATGGAATGGCTCCAGAGATCCAGGATGATTTCTCCAACTTGATTCAGAGCCACGAAAAGCAGCTGTTAGGAGCAGACTGCAGATGGGCTCACCATTGTGGAAATGGCTCTTTTCTCCCATCTCAGGAACACAGGTTCAGCCAACAGTTCTAGAAAAGGATGTCTATCTAATTCAGGAATTCTAAAACACAACTGTGTCACAGAGGCTCGAAAAGAGGTGCAGACTGAGCCCAGGAAGAGGAGGAAGAGCGAAAGGACATGGGCATCTTCTCTGCAGTTCCGGCAGGCTTAAAGAATGATCTATTACCAGAAAGACTGAATCACAAACTGAGATGAAAAAGAAAAATGATCCATTATCATTTTCCAGCACGCAGAACTGTTTCTTAATTGTCTCTGGTTTCTGTTTCCTCCCCTCTGCTTGCAGTCTTGCCATATTCTGTTTAATCGTATTATTTCATTCTACACTCATTTCTGGGGGAGGCCATTTTGGAGACAAAATGGACGTATTTTTGCCTTTAAGTTTAGTGGCCCATTGGATCGAGGATTTGGTGAGCCTTGGACTGAGATATCTTGGCTTGAGATGTGGCTGTAAAGTGAATTTCCAAAACCACGGCAGTACCTTCTTAACAAAAAGAGCAGGCCGGGCGCGGTAGCTCATGCCTATAATCCCAGGACTTTGGGAGGCCGAAGAGGCGGGTGGACCACAAGGTCAAGAGATCAAGACCATCCTGGCCAACATGGTGAAACCCCATCTCTACTAAAAATACAAAAAAATTAGCCGGGCAAGGTCGCATGTGCCTGTAATCCCAGCACTTTGGGAGGCCGAGGCGGGTGGATCACAAGGTCAAGAGATCAAGACCATCCTGGCCAACATGGTGAAACCCCATCTCTACTAAACATACAAAAACTAGCTGGGTGTGGTGGCAGGCGCCTGTAGTCCCAGCTTCTCGGGAGGCTGAGGCAGGAGAATCACTTGAACCTGGGAGGCGGAAGTTGCAGTGAGTTGAGATCGCACCACTGCACTCCAACCTAGGCAACAGAGTGAGACTCTGTCTCAAAAAAAAAAAAAAAAAAAAAAAAAAAAGAGCAAGGGAGAGGGTACGCCCCAGTCACCTTCTGGGATGGCTAAAGGTGCAGGACTTGATCAAAATAGAAGTGCTTCTAATTCAACTGAGGCCTCTGCAGGATTTCCTAACCTGAGAAAGTCTCCAGGGTATTCTGGGAGACAGCAGGAAGCAGGTTGGAGCAGATAATGTGCTCTGTTTATTCTTTTTAGAGAAAATCAGCAATTCACTCAGTTTGTCACTTTCGTTATTCTGTGTCCTTGGGGGATGGTTCAGAGAAACGGGATTTGGAACCTCTGCTGCTGGGGCTTGAATCCTGGTTCCATCCTTCCTGGCCTTGTGACCTTGGGCAACTACAGCACATCTCAGTGCCCCACTTTCTTCTGTAAAGTGCAGAGGACGGTGAAGTGCTTGTCTCATGGGCTCCTTTGAGTGGCAGATGAGTTCACAGATGCAAAGTCCATCAAACAGAGCCTGGCACATACCTAAGAATGTGTAATAAATGCTTGCCATAGCAATGATAGGAGCCCATTTCAGAACCTTCCTGTAAGGTCCTCACTCATTTTCTAGCCCTCAGAAGTAGTGATCATGGGATTCAGGATTTTTAGAAAACATAGATTTTATTTTATTTTATTTTTGAGACGGAGTTTCACTCGTGTTACCCAGGCTGCAGTGCAATGGCGCAGTCTCGGCTCACCGCAACCTCCGCCTCCTGGGTTCAAGCAATTCTCCTGCCTCAGCCTCCTGAGTAGCTGAGATTATAGGCACGCACCACCATGCCCAGCTAATTTTTTGTATTTTTAGTAGAGACGGGATTTCACCATGTTGACCAGGATGGTGATCTCTTGACCTCGTGATCCACCCGCCTCGGCCTCCCAAAGTGCTGGGATTACAGGCTTGAGCCACCGCGCCCGGCCAGATTTTATTTTTTAAAGCTGTTTTAGGTCCGGGCGCCATGGCTCATGCCTGTGATCCCAGCACTTTGGGAGGCCAAGGTGAGAAGATCACTTGAAGCCAGGAGTTCAAGACCAGCCTGGCCAAATGTTGAAACCCTGTCTCTACAAAAAATACAAATATCAGTAGGACAGGGTGATTTGCGCCTGTAATCCCAGCTACTCAGGAGGCTGAGGCAGGGGGATTGCTTAACCCTGGGAGGCAGTGGTTACAGTAAACCGAGATCCAAGATTGCACCACTGCACTCCAGCCTCGGCAACAGAGAGAGACTCTGTCAATAAATAAATAAATAAAGCCATTTTAGGTTTATAACAAAATTAAGTGAAAAGTACAGAGAGTTCCTATACACATACTCTCCAACACATGCAGGATTTTTTTTTCTAGCAAAATCTCACCACCTGGTGCAAGAAACTTTTCCTTTGGAATATCATTACCAAAAATGTTTTGAGGATGGATTTAAGGTTTTTGAGACGAGACTTCATCAGTGTAATCATTGTAAGGGAAATGGAAAGGATGAGGCCAAGAGAATAACACTGAAAGCTGCAGGGTGGATGTTCATTAAGAATCCCTGCAGTCGGCCGGGTGCGGTGGCTCAAGCCTGTAATCCCAGCACTTTGGGAGGCCGAGGCGGGTGGATCACGAGGTCAAGAGATCGAGACCATCCTGGTCAACATGGTGAAACCCCGTCTCTACTAAAAATACAAAAAATTAGCTGGGCATGGTGGTGCGTGCCTGTAATCCCAGCTACTCGGGAGGCTGGGGCAGGAGAATTGCCTGAACCCAGGAGGCGGAGGTTGCGGTGAGCCGAGATCGTGCCATTGCACTCCAGCCTGGGTAACAAGAGCGAAACTCTGTCTCAAAAAAAAAAAAAAAAAAAGAATCCCTGCAGTCACGACATGGTACAGTCTGAAGGATCTGACGTTGTGTCTTTATTGTCACACTGAGGGCAGTCCGCATGCAGCCTAGGCAGGGGGTTCAAATGCCCTGTAACCAGGTCTACTGTCTGGCTTCTTATTGGTAACAGAGACAAAGTTTGTTTAGAGGCTTTAAGTCCCAGCATGCAAGAGTTCCATGAGGACAAACTATGATGAAATTCAAAAATTTGTTGGGCGCGGTGGCTCAAGCCTGTAATCCCAGCACTTTGGGAGGCCGAGGCGGGTGGATCACGAGGTCAAGTGATCGAGACCATCCTGGTCAATATGGTGAAACCCCGTCTCTACTAAAAATACAAAACATTAGCTGGGCATGGTGGCACATGCCTGTAATCCCAGTTACTCAGGAGGCTGAGGCAGGAGAATTGCCTGAACCCGGGAGGCGGAGGTTGCGGTGAGCCGAGATTGTGCCATTGCACTCCAGCCTGGGTAACAAGAGTGAAACTCTGTCTCAAAAAAAAAAAAAAAGAAATTCAAAAATTCGGTCCTTTTGTTATTAGGAAAGGCTTTCTGCTTGCCAGTGAAAACAATCATGGAAAATAAACTTGTCTGTGATTTGGGCTGCTTTTTTAAGCTCTATGTGAGCTGTCCATAGTGAAATCATAAGATGATGAACAGTCCTGGCTTATGCCTGTTGTCCTGGCAAAATTTTAATAGTGCCCTCCCTCCCACCAGGTGACTCCAAATAGTCCCAATTTGGAAGACACATTTTATGGTAATATTTATACTTACATATATAGGACCCAGCACTAAAAATGCTCATGAAACACACGCACACACACACTTGCACACATTGCACATGCACACATATACACACAGATGAAAAGGTGTTCTTGTCTTATAATCAGATACATGCAGAGTGTCTGACAGGTGTCTGGCTAACGATGACTTCTTCCTAGTCACCATGCATTCCTCTTCCTTATGTCATCCTTAATTGCAGCAATAAAAATTGAGTCCTTCATGCTATTAATTGCAAAGGAATCAATAAAACTTGTGCA